TCGAAAAAAAGTAAGAAGAAAAAATAAGTAAGAGAACCAGTGGTATCAGAAAAAGTATGCACCTTATGAAGAGAGTTCAAAAAAAAAAAAAAAAAAAAAAAAATTAGTAACACTAACGACTGAAAAGAACGAGTGAAACGGAAAAACGAGAAAATTGAAGATATAAGGAAAAAAAGAACCGTGAAGCTGGAGGATAAGCAGGCACATGTAAAGAGAAAAGACGAAAGAAATAAGAAGCAGACTTTTCGTTTAGCCATGGCAGTGGTAACGTAAAAGCTTTGTCAGCTTTTTCGCGATCTACCACAGGAGTAACTTCCGTCAAGAAAAGTCTTGCCGAGTCTCAAAAGCACGTGCCCTCGTCCCACTTTTCTATAGCCTCCCAGCCCTTTCCTTTTCCCTTTCACACGGAGGTTGAACTCGAATGTTTGTTTGTTTGTTTGTTTTATTTTTTCGAAGACCAGTCATCTGTTGTGGTGTCCGTTTTCCACGACGTCAGTCTTTCATGTACTTAGAGAAATGTAGCCACGGCATCGCTAGCAGTTAGCAATTTGCAATTAGGACGTTACTATTGATTCTACCATATACTTTTTAACACCCGAGCATGCATACTTGAGTGTAAAATTGCAGGATGCATAATTCATGCTTAACCCTATACTTTCTCTCTCTCTCTCTCTCTCTCTCTCTCTCTATCTCGCCTCTTTTATAATTGCTCTCAAGCAAACGTACAACAGCTGCTTCTCCTGACTGTTTCATTCTACTTTTTAAGCAAAAACTCTGCCTTTCCTCTCTGAGGTCCCATCGTTCCCTTTCTTCCTCTCTATTATTTTATTTGCCCCTTTACCTTATTCTTTATCAAAACCTTAATTGAGAAAAAGAAATAAGGAAGGGAAGAAACGAATGTCTGTTACACAATTTTTTGGCTCGGTAAATAGCAGGTACTTTTTATCTCGGGCGTGGATTGTTAATTGCCAAAGGAGTAATAGCGCGAGAAAATCCATCGCCGGAGAAATAAAAGCGTCATCTAATGAGGAAGAAAATTTTTTTTAGTAATATATGAATAGTCGATTACATAAATTTGTTTTAATTATTATTCACATCGATTATTTTACCAACAACAACTTTATGCTCATTATTGAAAAATTGTCTGTTATTTTGGAGAAACTCTTTTAATATTGAGAATAACCTTGTTTCTTCCTGTTTGTACCAAAGAAATATTCAATTTGATAGAATTTAATAATCATTACCTAACTATTTTTATTACTTAGCTTTTTATTTAGTGAAAGCGTGTATTTAAAGTATGAATTTAATATTATGCTGAATAATAAAAAATTTTAATCAATAAAGTTAAAAGATCAAAAAAGATAAAATTAACGTTTAATTTTTAATTACAAAATACCAAATGAACGACATATACCGGAATTTTACTCGAATATTTTTATTACCTGCTATCAGGATAAAATTATAAGAAAATTATATTATACTCACTGCGAAGTAAAGGCGCTGATGGGCAATTTAAATAGAATAAAATTTTACGCTTCCAGCAGTAAAGGATTCGATCTGAAATATATTACATGCATATATACAAACAGACAGAGGAAAATTATAAAATTATATAAGTAAAGGATTGTAAACTGCGGGAGGGAAAGCATTAATTGAAGGACTGAGGGATGATTTTTCGACAAAACGCAAATAACCGCCGCTACGTATCCAAATTTCCAGGCTGTTGATGGTCTCTTCTCGAATCTCCTTCTGGTGCAACGCCACGATTCTGTTACTACTCCTACCACCGCACGTGAAGGTGTAGCCACACAGAGAGAGAGAGAGAGAGAGAGAGAGAGAGAGAGAGAGAGGAGAGAGAGCACCGTCATCGCTTTTGGCTCTGCAGCCAGTTGATCCCCGGTATATACGTAGCCGTATCATGTATCTAAGGATAATAAATTAGATTCACCCATATTCTAGTTGCGTAG